AAGCATTTTTGTAACTTCCAGACATAACTTGTGTGTTAGTGTATGGATCTCTCTGACATTGTACCACAAGGTTCCATATCACTAAAGGAATGCTGGGATTGATTTTGGGTGTAATTGCCTCCAAATTTTAGGAATTAGGGGCCAAAAAAGGGGCAAAAAACAAGCATTTTTCTAGTTTCATGACAATAACTTGTGTGTAAGTGTATGGATCTTTCTGAAATTGTACTACAAGGTTCCATATCACAAAGGGAAAGCTGGGTTTGCGTTTGGGGGTAATTGCCCTAAACGTTTAGAAATTTGGGGCCAAAAAGGGGCCAAAAAACACATTTTTTTCTAGTTTCCAGACAATAACTTGTGTTCAAGTGTATGGATCTCTCTGAAATTGTACTGCAAGGTACCATACCACAAAGGGAAGGCTGGGATTGAGTTTGGGGGTGATGAATCATAATGGGGGTTCAAAAAATTTTGGGGGGGGATTTATTTTTTTTTCCTTTTTTTTCTTTTTTTCCTTTTTTGTTTCTTTTAAAATTTTCCATTTTAAGTTGGTTATTTCTGATTTATATTTAAAATCAAATAATAATGATATGGTAGGAGATACACACCAAACAGGATGTGTAAATTATTATATAATAAGTATTGTGCAATAGCAAGAAATTTTCAATTGCACAGTATTGCACAATAGCAAGAAATCTTCAATTGCACAGTATTGCGCAATAGCAAGAAATCTTCAATTGCACAGTATTGCGCAATAGCAAGAAATATCCAATAGCACAATATTGCGCAATAGCAAGAAATTGTCAATTGTACAGTATTGCGCAATAGCAAGAAATATTTAATAGCACAGGATTGTGCAAAAGAAAATACTTCCTATAAATTGCTTATTTCTTGACCAATTTCAATGGGGTTTTATTCTTGATTTCATGGGGTTCTTTAATATGCTGAATATAACCGTGTATTTAGCTTTTGGATTTTGGGCCCCGTTTTTAAATTGGTCCACATTGAGGTCCAAAGGGTCCAAAATTAAACTTTGTTTGATTTCATCAAAAATTGAATTATTGGGGTTCTTTGATATGCCGAATCTAACTGTGTATTTAGATTCTTAAATTTTGGTTCCGTTTTCAAATTGGTCTACATTAAGGTCCAAAGGGTCCAAAATTAAAGTTAGTTTGATTTTAACAAAAATCGAATTCTTAGGGTTCTTTGATATGCTGAATCTAAACATGTATTTAGATTTTTGATTATGGGCCCAGTTTTCAAGTTGGTCCAAATCGGTGTCCAAAATTAAACTTTGTTTGATTTCAACAAAAATTGAATATATGGGGTTCTTTGATATGCTGAATCTAACCATGTATTTAGATTTTTGATTTTTGGGCCCCGTTATCAACTTTGTCCACATTGAGGTCAAAAGGGTCCAAAATTAAACTTTGTTTGATTTCATCAAAAATTGAATTATTGGGGTTCTTTGATATGCCGAAACAACCGTGTATTTAGATTCTTAATTTTTGGTTCCGTTTTCAAATTGGTCTACATTAAGGTCCAAAGGGTCCAAAATTAAACTTAGTTTGATTTTAACAAAAATTGAATTCTTAGGGTTCTTTGATATGCTGAATCTAAACATGTATTTAGATTTTTGATTATGGGCCCAGTTTTCAAGTTGGTCCAAATCGGGGTCCAAAATTAAACTTTGTTTGATTTCAACAAAAATTGAATATATGGGGTTCTTTGATATGCTGAATCTAACCATGTATTTAGATTTTTGATTTTTGGGCCCCGTTATCAACTTTGTCCACATTGAGGTCAAAAGGGTCCGAAATTAAACTTTTGTTTGATTTCATCAAAAATTGAATTCTTGGGGTTCTTTGATATGCTGAATCTAACCATGTATTTAGATTTTGGATATTGGACCATAATAGGTGAATGTCCAATTTAAAATTTTTAAGTTCTTAGACCACATTCAATCTGTGTTAGAAACCTATGCTGTGTCAAATATTTAATCACAATCCAAATCCAAAGCTGTATCAAGCTTGAATGTTGTGTCCATACTTCCCCCAACTGTTCAGGGTTCGACCTCTGCGGTCGTATCAAGCTGCGCCCTGCGGAGCATTTTATTTTTTCTTACACTTATTTTATTTCTCTAATGACAATGTGGGGACGTGGGGTATATGAGCATGCTCACTAAGGTTCTTTCATTTATGAATGAATTTTATAAACCCAAACTAAGAATATAGATAATGTGCTCCTATACATAGGAGGAAGATCAAGAGAAAGAATAATTTTCTGTTGTTTACATTCTGTGCAGTCCCAGGTAGACCACATATAAATCGGGACATAAAATTGTTAGTCAAGCTTGACTGGCTTCAACCTTTCTGGGGTACAAGTAATGAGGTAATTAAGGTATTGTTATTACCTTTCAATCAAAAGAGTGTCAAAATTATGTTTTGATAGCTGTAAATCATTCAATTGAATGCAAATTATCAAACTTCCTGTCCAGGAAGAATTTCAAATTTGCCGTTTTTTCAGAAGAAAACTTAGCATTTTAGACATTGGAAGTCCCATAGCAGTAGAATAGGGTGAAAACGGGTCATTTGATGAAATCCTGGGTTATTTCATGACTCGACCGGGTTTGAAAAGTCTGGCTAAATACGGGTCAGTTGACAGGTATGCCTTGACCTCATTGTCATGAATCAGTGATAATGTTAAGTTTATGTAATACTTGTAGTAAAACCTTTTATCATTAAGACTTTCAACATAAAATCAATCATGGTCAGCAAAGCAGTGGAGACATTTCAGCGTGTGCACCCTTGTTAGTTTAGATATAGAAACAACTATTTTCCTAGTGTTCCCCCTTTATGTGCTGCTAAGTCGACTTTTATATCCTTCCTACTAACAATACTTTGAAGGATGGTGTTTTCTGGAAATAAAGCTGGGGTGATTAGTTTTAATGTTTAACATGGCAAAAGGTTGATAAATGATCGAAATCTATTTTACATTAGACATTTTAATATTTGTTATTAAATAAGAATGCATATACTTCTAATTATTATAGGACCCCTCTACTACTTTGCATTAACAGAAACAATTGAGGTCAATGAAACAGTGTTGCACATTATACTAGTGGAAAATATTATGCATATCAAAGGCTTAGAAGTCCAATTTTTATTATCAATAAGATGATTAACTCTGTGTGTAATGTTGTACAGTTTTCTTAAACTAAGCAGTATGAAGTTTCATTTTACGTACTGGTCATACAAAACAAATTTATATATAGATCAATAACAAGTGGTTCTATTTTTATTTCATAGATAAAGGAAGTGTCAATACACAACAAACTCAACAATATTTGCTTATGATATTTATTGAAAGAAGTTAGAAAATGATATATCATCAAGCATATATATTTTATTGGAATTCAATAGTGTATATGTGGATAACAGCTCTTCATCTTTCTTTACTTCCTATCTGGTTTGACTCCGTTATTGCTGAAATGTGATTTAAGCGTACTCCATTTAATTGCATATTTTTTTCTGAACTAGTAGGCTGTGCGAACTACCAAATCCCCCTGTAATACTTTAATTGTAATTATAGGTAGCATATGCAAGGAAAGATTTAAAGGCAGATATCATTGTAGATATGGCGACATTAACTGGTGCTCAGGGAATTGCTACTGGTAAGTTCTTTAAATTTTGATGTCAGATTGTACAGCATTAATATTTTCTTAACACTGTCAGAATGATGTAAATGATGAGCAGTGAGTCTGTTGTCAGAAGCATGGAATGCCACCGTAAAATAAGGATATATTTGATAGGGACAGAAATTTAGCATTGCAACAGGCCACCTACAAACCCCTCAAAGATTTGTCTCAACGTGCAGAGAGCATGGCAATCTTTCTACACGAGGCATGGGATTTAACGTCCCATTTCTGACTGGACATGGCAGCAAATTTATACATCCTGCACAGCCAAACGGATGCTTCTCAGGAAGAAAACCGAGGGATGACCATATTTTTATACCCCAGACAACCCTTGTGCCAGAGTTTTTTAATTTGTTGATTTACAGATTTTTTATGTGAAAAAAAGGGGTCGGTCAGGAAAAAACAACTTATTGTAATAGGCTTTTAACATAGGTTTGGTACTGCAATATTATTTGCACAAACAATATTTCAATATAAAAAAGAAGATGTGGTATGATTGCCAATGAGACAACTCTCCACAAGAGACCAATTGACACAGAAATTAACAACTATAGGTCACCGTACGGCCTTCAACAATGAGGAAAGCCCATACCGCACAGTCAGCTATAAAAGGCCCCGAAATGACAATGTAACACAATTCAAACGTGAAAACTAATGGCCTAATTTATGTACAAAAAATGAATGAAAAACAAATATGTAACACATAAACAAATATGTAACACATAAACAAACCAAAAACAAATATGTAACACATAAACAAACGACAAGTTAGTTTGATTGGTTATTTTTAGGAGCAAGAACATTACAGATTATTTTAGAACATAATGTGTAATCAGTTAACATGCAAAAATAATGCATTTAATTTCAGGAAAATGCTACTAAGCAGATATTTTTATTCATATTTCAGGGATACTGTATTTGTTAGGGTCAGTGGGAACAAAAAAAACATGAAATTAATTTTTTTCTGAAAATCGAAAAAATAGAGTGGACAGATCTTAAAAGCCACAAATTAAGAAAAACTTGCCTTGGGGTTGTATGTATATGTAATAAAATTTTATTTGTTAAGTGAATATAAAGAATTGAAGAAGAAAAAACTAATTAATTGGTAACTATAGAACATCCATATATCTTCATTGTAGGCAAATATCATGCTAGTATACTAACAAACAACGAAGATTTAGAATTAGCCTGTATTAGTGCTGGAAGAATTTCTGGTGACCTTGTCCATCCAGTGCCATATTCACCAGAACTTCATTATAGTGAATTTACCAGTTCTGTTGCTGACATGAAAAACTCTGTAGCGGTGAGAATATTTTTTTCTTATATCTTTTGACATAATATGTTCATATTATTGGCAGATAGCACCTCATGATTGAAGGGAAGTATGGCTTTAGAAGAATTTTTTCAGAAGTTTCTCGATGTCCAAACCATTAAATATAAAATGTGTGCCAAAGAAAGCAGCACAGTACCTAGTTCAGATAATAATCCTTACTCAAGGTAATCTGATTGTTCCATAGCGATTAACTAACAGATAATAATCCTTACTCAAGGTAATCTGATTGCTCCATAGCGATTAACTAACAGATAATAATCCTTACTCAAGGTAATCTGATTGTTCCATAGCGATTAACTAACAGATAATAATCCTTTCTCAAGGTAATCTGATTGTTCCATATCCATTAACTAACAGATAATAATCCTTACTCAAGGTAATCTGATTGTTCCATATCCATTAACTAACAGATAATAATCCTTTCTCAAGGTAATCTGATTGTTCCATAGCCATTAACTAACAGATAATAATCCTTACTCAAGGTAATCTGATTGTTCCATAGCCATTAACTAACAGATAATAATCCTTACTCAAGGTAATCTGATTGTTCAATAGCGATTAACTAACAGATAATAATCCTTTCTCAAGGTAATCTGATTGTTCCATATCCATTAACTAACAGATAATAATCCTTACTCAAGGTAATCTGATTGTTCCATATCCATTAACTAACAGATAATAAACCTTTCTCAAGGTAATCTGATTGTTCCATAGCCATTAACTAACAGATAATAATCCTTACTCAAGGTAATCTGATTGTTCCATATCCATTAACTAACAGATAATAATCCTTTCTCAAGGTAATCTGATTGTTCCATATCCATTAACTAACAGAAAATAATCCTTTCTCAAGGTAATCTGATTGTTCCATAGCCATTAACTAACAGATAATAATCCTTACTCAAGGTAATTTGATTGTTCCATAGCCATGAACTAACAGATAATAATCCTTACTCAAGGTAATCTGATTGTTCCATAGCCATTAACTAACAGATAATAATCCTTACTCAAGGTAATCTGATTGTTCCATAGCCATTTACTAACAGATAATAATCCTTACTCAAGGTAATCTGATTGTTCCATAGCCATTTACTAACAGATAATAATCCTTACTCAAGGTAATCTGATTGTTCCATAGCCATTAACTAACAGATAATAATCCTTACTCAAGGTAATCTGATTTTTCCATAGCCATTAACTAACAGATAATAATAAATAATCCTTACTCAAGGTAATCTGATTGTTCCATATCCATTAACTAACAGAAAATAATCCTTACTCAAGGTAATCTGATTGTTCCATAGAGATTAACTAACAGAAAATAATCCTTACTCAAGGTAATCTGATTGTTCCATATCTATTGTTCCATATCCATTAACTAACAGAAAATAATCCTTTCTCAAGGTAATCTGATTGTTCCATATCCATTAACTAACAGAAAATAATCCTTTCTCAAGGTAATCTGATTGTTCCATAGCCATTTACTAACAGAAAATAATCCTTTCTCAAGGTAAACTGATTGTTCCATATCCATTAACTAACAGATAATAATAAATAATCCTTACTCAAGGTAATCTGATTGTTTCATATCCATTAACTAACAGATAATAATCCTTACTCAAGGTAATCTGATTGTTCCATAGCCATTAACTAACAGAAAATAATCCTTACTCAAGGTAACCCGATTGTTCCATAGCCATTAACTAAGCTGTTTTAGAAAATTTTGTTTATTCTTGATCATTTCTATGGAATAGACTACCATACTAAATGTGTAAAGTGCAAAACACTTTTACTTTTAAATAAAGTAGTTGACATAGTCATGACAATTTCATATATGCTTGTAACTGTTTGTGAAATGTATTATTTTGATTTGTTTATTATATTTTTTATTTTTGTTACTACATGCACCTCTTTAACTGTATATCTTTTATAAAGATATATTAAACTATATGATTGTAAATTAACTATGTTTGAATATCTGTTTTAGATTTTATTGTATGTGAGGAACTCAGGAAAGATTAGTTTGTCGTAATTAATTGTACTGTGTTTCTTTCTTTAAGAATAAAGAATTTATTATTATTATTAATATTATTGTCATACAATTTTTGTATTACAGGACAGAGGCAATGCCCAAGTATCTTGTGCTGGACTATTTATTGGTTCCCATTTAGGTTTTACTTATCCAGGAATGTGGTTACATATAGATATGGCTGCACCTGTGCATAACGTAAGCTATTTACCAATCTTATTTTTGGTCATTGATTTTCTTTACTGATCAGAAAGTAAGTTAATCATTAGTGCTTAGAATTTTTTGATTTCAAGCTGTAAAGGTAATAGATCAATGTGAATATATATATGTGTTTTGGGTATTAAGTTGTTGATTGTAGTGAACCACCATAATATATACATGAGGAATAATCATATTTATTCATCCAGTCAAACACTTGGCTGCTAGCTGTTAAGTTTTTGGGTGATTTATTTGATTTGGGGGGAATCTGTTGTTTTATATAAGTTAAGAAGACATACTGATCCTACATTCCAGGAGGGCAGCAATCCAATGACCTTATAGGATTTAATTCCTCTTCACTTTTTTGATAATTGGCATGTTGATGTAGCTTATAAACTATGAGCTGTATAGAACTATGATCATTTTATTTGAGATCCTATGGCCATAACATAGAAATTAAAGTCAAAGTCAAATTTCTAGGTTTTTTTCTAAATTTTGAATATTGCTTGTGTTCACATCTTCTCTGAAAGTATATGGTATAAAAGAACTTGTGCAAAATGTTTATGTTTTTGAGATGTAGATTTGGCACAAAAGGTCCAAAGCAATCCCATAACTTTAAATAAGAGTTATTGTCCCTATTATTTGTAAATTTTTGGTTACTGAATTAAAGCATCAATCCAGGACATGATAAAGCCATTGGCAATATTACATACTGATGGGAGGCATCTGACCTTGACAAAGGTCAATTTGAGGTGACCTTGTGTCAAATGGAAGCACTCGTGTTTTGCACTTATTTCTAAGAAAATTGCCTTGCAACTATATATTTTTGGAATCAATGTTATATAAGATAGCTATCAAATGACACCACTAGTAACTTTCAGTTAACTATCTTATTGTCTCCCTTATTTCTGAGAAAAGTACCTAGAGATGATGAATGTTTTGAATCAGTATATAGTCCACTATCATATGACAAAAAAAAATCAAACTAGTTTCATATTTTTAGAATCCTTGTAACATAAACTATCTTTCATACTGGAAGTGGCTTTTTTAACCCATAGTTACTATTTCACCTCCTCCTCACTTTATCACTAAATTTTAACTGACAATAATTTGTGCATTCAGTTTTAATTTCTCCATATCTTTTTAAAAGTAATTAAAAACAGACTGGCCAACAAAAAGTAATTTCAAGGTGGAAAGACCTCAATTTATCTTTTAATTATATTTTTATTTTGATGCAACATAGACAAAATGCATCTCTGTGTAACCTGAGTTTAATATATATCTGTTGTTTTATATGTAGGGAGAAAGAGCCACAGGATATGGTGTTGCATTACTCACTACCTTATTTGGCAGTCAATCCCAGAATCCTTTGCTGCAGTTTATAGCCCCATCTATAGCAATTCAGGAAGTGATGGATGTTGATTGTGAAGAAAGTGATTCCAAAAAACAGAAATCTTAATGGAATAGTTTTTGACCAAAAAAACCAGTCAGTTTATTTAACAGACACATTATATGTTTGAATATGCACGTTGAACAATTTATTACTCAGAGAAATATAGAAGTGTAGAAAACAAGTAGATAGAAAATACCAAAAAAATATTCTGTTTAATTTTAAAGGAAATTTGTACAAGCTAAATCATCAGTATAGTTTTTGTCTTTGACTAATAATTTATATATAAAAGTGTTTTTATTTTTCCTTGTAAAGTTGTATATTTTTTCTCAATAGAAGAAAGCATCACTTAGAATTTCATCTGTATTGTCCATACAAAACAGACTTGACTTTGGTGACAAATATGCATTTTTGACTGAAAGATTGCTCAAGTTAATATTAGAAGAAATGCCAGAGGAAAACTCAATATGTGTTGCAAACAATTCAAACAACTGAAAACCTAATATTACACAACACACACAATCACAAAGTGGCTTTTCATGCACCCTGCATGTTTTTCTATAAAAATTAAATGACAAAACAAGATTGCTTCCTCATGAGTTGTACCATCTGATATCCACTATGGATTAAACCATTGTCACACTTTGATTATTAGCCAAAGTTTAAAGTTGAAACCTTTTAGGAGAACAGCTAGACAAAATTATATAGATTGACCATAGTTAAAAAACCACAGAAAATTCCTATGTTAAAGGTAAATTTGAGATTTATTTTGCCCTGGAAATTAACCCAAAAAATAAAGAATCACAAATATTCAGACATCCGAATAGAATCTTACATGAAATGAAAAACAAATAAGTAGAAAATACATGTCATGTAACTCATCGCAAGTACCTATAATGGTTTACTTTTACAAATTGTGACTTGGATGGAGAGTTGTCTCATTGGCACTCATACCACATCTTCTTATATCTATATAAGATGATAAGCCACACAAACTTTAAATTGTAAATCATTCCTGTATTTATGATGTCTGTTCATTTTACTTTAACCAGTTTGGTTTTAATGATACAAAACCACAAACAAGTTCATTAATGATATGGTATTGTTTTGTAGCAATTTATTTCTTGATTTAATATAAGTTATTGTGTGATTGTTTCTAAAGGCTACATTTGCAATTAAGTATTGATTAGTATTGATAAAAACTCAGGCTATCTGGGCTTGAAATCATAAAACTTTGCTCAGTACTGGGAGTACAAAAATCGTACTGACAACATTAAATCCAGCATTCTGATTGGTTGATATTGGAGTATGAGTACAAAAAACGTACTCAAAAGTTTAATGACTTCAAGGCCGGAACCATGTGTTGTTTGTCATTGTTTATTTTTGAATGAATCAGGTGTTGGTGGTAAGTTTGGTCTATTGTTCTGTCCATATTTTATGTGATTTCTGTTTTCTATTTTATGTATTATCATGTTGCCTTATCAATCTTTTGATGTAAATTAATTTGATAATTTTCAATTATTTTGAACCCTTTAACCACATGAGTATACTTGTTTGTATGTTTAAAAAGATACTATTATGCAGTCACAGTTAAACAATATTGTATCAGCGCTTCACAATCCCTGAAATGAGAACTAATTGAAACTTTGAAAAATTATCTTGTCTTTTCTTTAAAACATTTTAATAATATGAAGTTGGTATCTGAAAAAAATTGGAATATGGGTACATTTTATAGATAGTTAACAGCAGCATTGTTATTCAGATATAAGGTGCTATAGTATCATTAAGAAGTATGTCACCTTACAACTCACCAAATAGCATGCTGAATATAGAATATCACATTATTGGAATAAAAAAAGTATAACAAATACTGAACTCAAAGGTAAATTCAATAAGGAAAAGTCCATAAAAACTGACAAAATCAACCGCTATCAATCAACGGAACAAGTGAAAAACAACTACCATATTCCTGACTTGGTTCAGGAATTTTCTGAAGAAAATGGTGGGTTAACCTGGTTTATAGCTTCAATGTAGCTAAAAAGATAAAATTATTGACGAAAATCTGACACCAAATTTCCACTGTGAAACATTATAGGAATAAGAGCAAACATATTTTTATCAAGGAATAAGCTTAACTATTGAATGATAGACATTTTCAGATTTTGTTAAAATTAGGAATTCCATTATCAGTAGGAAGGATTATATTGAATTTATGTCGATAAACTGGCCCCTTACATTTCTGAATGAATGAATGGTGTTATGTACAAAATGCACACAATCGCTGTAACTTTGATATATTGGACATAAAATACTTCCTGATCACTTCATTAAGTTATAATTTGATTACATTGACTAGTATTTGATAAGTAAATTAAATGTTGTCATTTATTTTGTTACATGCTTTTCAATTTCGGGAGACAGCATCATTCAAAAGATTGAAGTTACAGTTCAGGCAAATGACAATTATCGCCTTGACATTGGTAAACAAGTATAATGCAATTTCTTTTATATACGACAAACCTTGATTTTGATTCGTTGGCAGTCATTTTATCTTCTGCTTTCATATATGCTTTGTTTGTTTCCCCTTAATCCTGCCAAGTAGAATACTTAATGTCTTCGAACTATATTTGCATTGCAGCAATCATTCATATTTGAACATTACGATTTATTTCATGCAATGGATACAGTTTCATTTAATCCAAAAAATGTTAACAATTTTTCGAAAACAACAAAGAAAAAAATAAATCAAACTCTAAACAGTTACCCTTGTTATATTAATATAGTCTTTCAAATAAATTATTTGTAAAATATTTGCAGAGAGAGATAGAGAGATTGGAAATTAATAATAAGATTATCACCCTTAAAACAAAGTATTAAGTATAAATGTTTGGCTGGAAAATAATACCATCATTAAGAAAGTATTAATAACTGCACGTGAAAATTCAATTACATTTAAACCCCTTCACATGCTATGCATTTGTATGTGCCTGTCCCAAGTCCGGCACCTATAAATCAGTGGTTGTCGTTTGTTTCTATATTTCATATTTGTGTTTTCGTTTAATTTTTTTGACATAAATTATTTTTCTCGTTAAAATTGTTATACATTTGTCATTGGCAATCATACCACATCTTCTTATTTTTTTATATCATCACATATAAAAGTATTTTCTTGAAATCATTTCAAAAGAAAAAACCTAGCTGTAGGAGTAGTGTTCAATAAGTGTAAAGTGTTGCTATGCGAACACATTTTTAACGCTCAAAATTACATTTTCTTGTTTACTGGTTGTATAAATGTATGTCATAGAAATGCACCAATGCTTTCAATATAGATGGCATTGCAAAAAATTAACTCTTTAAAGATATCAGGCTGATAAATTGGTCTACATAAAAAAATTACTCCATAGAATTCAGGCTATTAATTTGGTCTAAATAAGAGAAATCACATCAGAGAATTGAAAGATGAAAGAATTGTAGCAAAGAGTAACACT